CGGTGGTGGCTGTTGCAGACCAGCCCACAGTGTGCACAGGGCCCCACAACACATAATCGGGTCCCACTGTCAGTGTTTCTGAGGGTCAGAACCCCTCCTGGATAGGGGTTGGTGTGTATGAGGGGCCTTGAATGCCATGTCTGGTAGCTTGGTAGCCATGGGGATGGTTTGCAGCGGGAGGGACGGTCAACCCAAAGGTTAGGGACGCACACTAGGGCTACAGAGAAGAGGACAGGAGGAGGGACACGTAGGGCGAGGGTGCACAGCATCTGCTTGCTGACCAGCAGTGAGCAGGGCGGGGCCTGAGGGAGCCCTGGCTGCCCCTCTCAGCCCACCCTCTGTGGCTGGGCAGCCCTGCAGGGTAGCTGCTGAGCTTCTGTACGCTCACAGGGTGTAGCTGGGCCAGCTACTCTTCCTTAGTTTATATGTGTTCGGCCTTGGAGCTGAAGGGCCTTGTGGGAGGAGCACTGGCCTGTCACTGGCCTCATGCTCATGCTTTCCCACTTCTGAAGGTGGCGCTGCCTTCCTTGGCAGATAGGTCCTTCCAGCCTAGAGCCAGGGCCTGCAGGGTGCCAGGAGGCCAGCTCAGGTAGCGGGCAGCAGGCAGCAGGCTCTCCTGTGCCCCCTGGACAGCCAGGGCTGGGGCCATGAATGGGCTTTGGCAGGGCTGGTTCAAGTACTTTCTGTCACCTGCTTCCTAGGTGACACTGGCCAGGTGGCCCTGCCCCTGGTCCTGCAGGTTGCTCAGTGATGTGAGGGTGGGATGGTTTAGCTCACAGGTGAGGACTTGGTCAGTGCGACAGCATTTAGGACGGCTGTTTCCGACACAGGCCACGGGCTCCATTAGTATCTCTTGTTGACAGAGATTCCTGTGTAAAACACGTAGTACGTGCTGGCTGACAGCTGCTTGGACCCAGGGTTGGGGTCCTGTGAGGGCCGTGCCCCCAGAGTAGCAGTTAGCCTGCCACCCTATACCTCCCTCCATGGGTCACTCACTCCCTCTGCCTGCCCCTGCTCCTTGGCCGCAGTGGCCCTCTTCTGAGGGACTGCTCAGGCCCTGGAGCAGCAGACGAGCTGGCTGGGCCCTTCCCCCTCCCCCATTCCCTGTTCCCTGCACAGGTAAGTGAGGGTAAAGGGGGCATGATTGGGGTTGGGGCTATCAGCCCCATGCGGGGTCCCCCAAGTTCCAGAAGTGGGGAGGTGGGAGTGGGGGCTAGGTGCCAGAGGTCAGCAGGTAATGTGCTGAGGAAACCCTTTGGGTGTCTGAAGGGGGGGCACCCACTCCCTGTTCGTGGGGCCCCTGCCCACTGCCCGCCTCATCACATTCTCCTCTTGTCTCCATAGCTTCCGCCCTGCGCTGCCTGTCTCCTACCTGCAGGCCGAGCTGGCCTTCGAGGGCGAGGCTGCCTGCCAGGCCTTCCTAGAGCCCCTGGGCCTGGCCTACACGGGCCCGGACAACGCCAGCATCGACTGCCGCCTCAGCCTGGCGCAGCTGTCCGCCTTCTGAGCTCCGCGCCAAGGGGGTGGGGGGCAGGGCTGCGGCCCCCACTGCCGCCTCTACAGATTTTGTTTTTGAGCCATGGACTTGGGTTGTAAATTGTGGGGAGTGGGCTCCAGGAAGAGCCACCATCCCTGCCCCCGTTTTCCCACCGGGGAGTCTGTACAGAGATTTTTTTCTACATTTTTATTTTTTGCCTCAGAGGGATGGGATGGGGAGGTGGGGTGGGGCAGCAGAGGGTTGGGGGCTTGGTCTGTCCACCCTGCACCTCTACTAATGCTGTCTCAGTGTTTTCTCTCTCTCTCTCTCGAGCTTGTACTCCGGTACCAACCCGGCACCCTGGCCCATCACATACCAGGGGGCCAGTGGAAGAAGACAGGCCGCTCCGCCAGTGCCCGCCGCGGCGGGGGCACCAGCACGCTGCCCGCCGCTCATCGCTCCTCACCCATCTGCCTACCTCACCATAGACTCTTGTTGCTCAGCCCTCTGGGGCCTCAGTGCTGGGGGCGTGGGGAGCCGTAGAGACTGTGTCCTGCCCTCGGCTCCCGCCCCAGAAACGCCAATGCCACACCAGGCCACCAGCAGATCCACGACGCCACCCGTACTGAGGACTCCGGAGGCCATCGCGGGACCTCATCGGCCGAGCCGCCTCGTCTGCAGTTGTACTAAGTTGTCTCATGTTCCCTCTTCCCTCCATCCCAGTGTTTCTTCTAGTTTTTTCCCCTTCCCTCCCTCTTCCTCCTCCTGCTCCCTCCTCCCTCGGTTCCGTACAGGTAAAGGGTCCCCCTCCTCGCCTTCATGGATCACCAGCTCACGTCATGTTTCCTTCTCGTTTCTTTTTGTGTGTGTTTATTTAAGTTGTTTTTCCTTCTTCCTCCCCTTTTCTTTTCGCCCTCCCTCCCTCTTCTGCCATGTAACTGAGGTTGTGCAATGAGTGCAAATAGCTGGACTGTCGGGCTGCTTTTTTTCCAGATACTCCTCCTCTGCCTCCCCTCCCCTTCCTCTCCCTTCCCCTTTCTCTCCTTCATTCTTTCTTTGGATCACTGAACACGTTTGGAAGCTTGAGAGAAACCAAAATTAAAGAGAGAGAGCGACCATGTGCTTTGTCCCTCCTGTTGCACTGGAGCGCCTCCAGTTTTGGGGTTTGAGATGGGATTTGTCCACCGGAGAAGTCTGGGACTGTCACTCCAGGGGGATCTCAGCCAGGGGCTGGTAGGTGCCACCTGCCTTCCCCATGCGGCACAGCCAGAGTTGTCTCAGGAACTGGCTCCCCAGCTCCTGATCTGGGCTGAGGACAGGTGTGGGGAGATGGCCTTGGGCGCCCCTGGGCACCTTGGCCAGCGTGAGGTGGGGGTGCAGCCCGCCTAGGGGCTGAAACACTCTGAGCCCCTCCGCCGCCAGCCTCTGGCTCAGCACTTCGGCCATGTTTTCCAGGGACGGGGAGGGTGGTGCACAGAGCACGTGGGGGCCCAGGAGCACCAACTGCCTAAACTTCAACTGCGGAGGTACCTGGAGTCCTGGAGCCGAGAGCGCGCGTTTGAGGGCGCTGACAGCTGCCGCTGTCTCCCCGGGGCCCGCTAGCCTCAGCAAGGCCAGCGTCAGGTGCAGGGCCTGAGGGGGCACCATGAAAGCAGCGCACGAGGGCACCGCTCGGACCAGCTCGTTTTGGGCCTTGGCCACACTCGCCTGCAGCTCGGGTTCTGTCACCATGAGGGCCACAAAGTGCGTGGGGCGAGGCTGGCGAGGGGCCTTCGTCCCGGTCATGGTGGTCTCTCCGCAGCCTTTGGGCCAGGCCCCGAGACCCCACTCCACTTGACACCCCTCTTCCGTCTCAGGGAAGTCATCGGGGATTGCCCTGGGGCAGCCACAGTATGTGCCTCTCTGGCCCTGGCTTTGGCAGCCGGCTTCGGCGCTCTTTCTGGCTCCATCCATGGGGAAGCCGGGCTTCTGGCTTTGTCCAGCGCCTTGGCCTTCACAGACTTCCCCGCCAGCATCAGGTGCCCAGCTTTGGGGTCCGCGCGCTCCTGCTCCGGCGCCAGCGAGGGGCGCAGCTACGCAGTACTGTCCTTCCCGGGTTCCGGGCGAGTCCTCGACCCCGTGCGCGTCCTCGTTGTCGTGCACGTCGACCCCGTGCGCGTCCTCGTTGTCGTGCACCTCTCCGGCCTCACGCGCGTCCCTCCCGCCAAGCACGTCTCGGTCCCCGAGAGCATTCCCTCTGTCCAGAGCGTCCAGGATGGTGGGCCCCCGGCCCTCCACGGAGCCAGAGCCAAAGACGCGGTCGGTGCGCGAGGCGCGGTCCCACACCACGCGGCCGCGGAAGCGGAAGTAGCGAATGCGGTGCTGCGGCACGGCCAGCAGGCCCGGCCCGAGTGCCGCCAGCGGCTGGTCCCAGCAGAAGGCGCCGAAGGGCTCCTCTACCACGCCCAGGAAGCGGTCGGCGTAGCCCACGGAGAAGTCGGCGGGGTCCAGGCTCGGGTCCCAGCGGATGCGCTGGATGACGGCCGCGGCGGTGCGCAGCGGCGGCTTTTTGATCCTGGCCTCCGGCCCGGCCTCGGCCTCGGCCTCGGCCTCGGCCCCGCTGCTAGGCCGCGCCAGCGCCTGAGCCCCAGGGTGGGCCTGGCGGCAGCGGGCGCCGAAGCGGCAACGGCCCTCCAGGAAGAAGCGGCAGGCCGGCGGCGGCGGGGGCTCCTCCGGGGACGACTCGGCCGCTCCGGCCTCCGCCATGGGACGGGCGCCTGGGCGGTGACCCGGCCTGACGTCACCAGCGGTCCCTCCGACCGCGCCCGGCCCGTCACCAGCGGTCGCTGCCGAGCAGCACTTCGGAGGCCTCCTGGCGGGGACTCTGAGTCCTGCCCGGGTGGATCCTCATCACGGTGCCCTCGGGGCGTGTGTTCCCGCCCCTCCACCTGGCCCCGCCCCCGCCCAAATGATTTACCTGCGCAGCACCCCCACCCTGGGCCCTGAGCAGCCGGCTGGACCCCGCTAACAATTCTCCTGTGCACCGCCCCCTCCAATTCCTTAGTAAGCCCGCCCGCCCAGGCCTCAGGATTCACAGGTGCTGCCCGCCCCTCGGGGTCCGCCAACGGGCGCCAGGGACAACCAGGTATCTGCAGGCTCACACCGGACTCGACACCGCAGCCGCCCTCACATTTGAGCCAACAGGCCTTTGGGGGACAAAGGGCACCCCTTTTCCTGGCCGATTCGCGCCAGCCTCTGCGCGCAGTCAACAGGAGGATGAATGGGGTTGCAGGAGCGAGCGCCCTCGGGACCCCGCCTCTGGGAGGGGCACCGCCCGACCACGCCCCGAGGTTTCCTAACGGGTCCGCCTGGATGATCCCGCGGTACCAGAACTCCAGGGGACGCACCTGACTCGTAAAGGCACGAGCCACCACCATCCCATCTCCCACGGGCACAGGAAACAGACAGAGCCGGGCCACGGACCTTAGCTGTTTATGTATAAAGAAGTGGGGTGCAGGAAGGCAAGGGCACCGGGCACCGGGACCTACAGGCCGATGACGTCGTCCAGCTCCAGGTCGGCGCTGGGGCGGCAGCGAGCCCTCGAGGGCTGGGCCCCGGAGCCGGGGTCCGCGTCGGGCTTGGCGGCAGCGGCCCCCGGGCGCTCCGCGTCCATGACGCCCAGCACCGCGTCCAGCATCGAGGGTCCCAGGTCCAGATGGAAGGACAGCAGCGGGTCAGCGGGCGCGGGCACGCGGAGGGCGGGCGGCGGGGGCTGCGGCACGGCCGGCGGCGGCGCGGAGCGCGGGGCCCCGGTGGGCGGCGCCCGGGGCTCGGGGGGCGGGCCACCCCCGTGGCGGCTCAGGAACGACGTATCCCCGAAAGCATCGCCACCGCGCCCCACGTGCAGCGTGTGTCGGAAGTCGCCGAGCGGTGCGGAGATGGAGAGGGCCCCTCGCTCGGGCCGCTTCTTGGGCTGCGTGGGGCCCAGCTGCTTCAGCACCGGCATCTGCGGGGTAGGGACGGGTCAGCGCGGCCTCCTCCAGAAGGGATCGCTCTGCGTGCTGCACCCCCAGCCCTGGATCTAGCCAGCCGTTTTCGGGACGCCCTCCACAGAGACAGGATGGTGGTGGGGGATTACTCCCACTTTACATGTGGGGAAACAGAGGCTCCCAGAGGCCCCGAAGTCTCAGCTACTTGATTCATATCTCACATTCAATGTCAGGTCTGCCCATGCCCACCACGCTCCGCTGATCCACGAAGAACCGACATTTGAGGTTCCTAGAAGCCCAAACTTGACAGAAACCCCAGCTCCTCACACATGGGAATTCCTGAACCCAAGGCTGACTGCGCCCAGAGGGGCAGCAGGCCGGGTGTTGGGCCCAGGCACTTCCGGAGGCCTGGGAAATGCTGAAATGTTTGATTTATTTTTAAATGTCAGGATTTGTCTTTATACCAAGGCAGTGGTGAAATACAATGTCATACGTAGGAAGGGGGCTGCCTGAAGATTCCACCTGGGGAGATTTAGGGTGGGCCTGGGTATCTGCATACAGTGTGTCCTAATTAGAACGATTTGATTTTGAAAGACACAATATAATGTCTCACTTTCTGTAAGCTAATGGTAAGGCAAATTTCTCTATGTTAAAAGATTGGGCCCTGGCCAGTTTGGCTCAGCGGTTGGAGCGTCGGCCTGCAGACCAGAGAGTCTGGGGTTTGGTTCCCACTAGGGGCACGTACAAAAAAAAAAAAAAGATTGGCCAGCTCTGGCCGGTATGCTAAGTGGTTAGAGCATGGCCCAAGCATTGAAGGGTGGCGGGTTTAATTCCCTGTCAAGAGCATGTACCTGGTTCGATCCCCGCCCTGGTTGGGGGGCATGTGCGAAGAAACCAATCGATGTGTCTTTCTCACATTGGTGTCCCCCCCCCCCCCCCCGTTCTTCCCTTCCACCGTCTCTAAAACTCAATGGAAAAAATATCCTTGGGTGAGGATTAACAAAAATAAAAAATAAGATTAGGCTTGGCCGGTGCGCCTCACTGGTTGAGTGTTAACTAATGCACCAAGAGATCGCCGGTTCAATCCCGGTCAGGGCACATGCCCAGGTTGTGGGCCCGATCCCCAGTGGGGAGCATGAAGGAGGTGGCCAATTGATATTCTCTCTTATCAATGTTTCTCTCTCTCTCTCTCTCTCTTTCTCTCTCTTCCTCTCCCTTCCTCTCTCTCTAAATTCAATAAAGAAAAAAATATTTTTAAAAATAAAAAAGATTGCCCAAATGGCACACATTGGAAGCTGGCAGCTTGTGAACTGTAAGCTAGGTGTCCTCTGGCCACGTGGACACAGGGTTCGTGTTACATGGACGTGCCTGCCAACCTTTGCCCACATCCTGGAACTTGGCTGTTTTTATGAATCTTCTGGGAGGGCCTTTGATGACCTTGTGCGTTTGTACTAACAGTCACTTACAAGGAACAGTCTTTCTGTTGGAATGGAGGCCCCGCCCTTGGCCAGCTGTATGCGTTGGGATACATGACATGACCTCTCTGTCTGTTTCCTATCTGTGAAATGGATAACACGTCACCAGCTTCCTTCCAGGGAAAAGTTCAAAGAAAACAACACTGAAAACTATATTTGTAAGGGTGCTGGCTGACTGGTGGTGCTGGTGTTGGGGGGGCCAGGTACGTGCCCAAAAAAACCATCAGAGTAGTGGGACAAAATTTAGATCCGATGGAATCCCATAACGAAGACAAAGCAGCCAGCGCTGTTCTTTTAGTAACGAGCACCCCGAGAGATACCGGTGATACAGTGGAGAAGAAGTAAAGCCAAAGGAACTTCAAATAGTTACAGGTGAACGTATCGTGAGAACTGCCCTCTACCCTACTCTCTCTCATTACCCTGGAAGAACCAGTCTTGATCCACCAGCTCGGCAATGTTTCCCAGACTTCTCTGACCTCAACCTAGATGAATAAATGTATTTTTATTGCCACCTGTGCAAACAATCCCCACTCCTCCCCCCCTGACCTCCAAATAAGGGGTGTGTGTGTCCAAAACAAGACTCACTGTTATAACCTGCTAGGCACTTGGATATTTTCAATTCTAATCTATTTTATGTTATTGTTTTAAAAGGCTGACCTCTGCTCACTCATGAATTCAATCCACAGTTAAAAAAATAAAAATATTTTTAAAAACCCTCTCTCGGCGCCCATTATCGCTCTGCTGTGAGTTACAGGTGAAAAGTGCCACACCCGGAAAGCCAACGGCCCAGGTTTGGACCTGCCCGTGCCCACTGCTGTACTGCTTTGGGCGAGTCACTTAACCTTCCTGACCTCATTCCCTTATCTTGAAAGTGGAATGATACGCACAGGATACTTCATAGTCTCTCTGCAAGGACAGGTGACGTGTGGGCCAGGAAAGTCTTAGCACAGTCCTCAGCACACCGCAGATGCTCAGTTATGTGCTCAGGGCAGCCCCGCCTAGGTCATTGTCCCGGGTCCCAGACAAGGAAATGGATCTCAGAGAGAGTATGTGCCTTGCCCAAGATGACAAAGCTCTGTGGGACCCCACAGTCCAGAGTTAGCGCTTCCACTGCCTCCTGCCCCTTGCACGGTTGCCTGCCCGGGCAGCTCTCCTCCCTGCTTCTCCCTGCCTGGCCCTCGCCCGCCCCCCATCCCACCCTCCGATTGCCCTTTTCAGGCGTCATCACGGCCAGTTTCCAGCACCTGGCAGCCCCTCAAGGTTTTGCTTTCTGACATCAGACACACCTGGGCTGCTGTTTCCTTTCTGGAGTTCCTGGCACCCAGTTCCTCAACCCTAAACCTCAGTTTACTCGGCTGAAGGACAGGAGTCAGAATGCCTGCGTGCAAGCAGCGGTCACGGACTGCTCTGGGGATGCTGGCTATTTTTTCCCCAAGCACTGTTTCTGGGCCAGGCGGGCACCTATGTGCCTCACCCCGCCGGACGGACTCATGTAATCCGCACATCATCCCACACAGGGGGAGACCGCTGGTGTCAAGGCTGAGGCGCAGAGAGGTGGGGTAACTCGCCCCGGGTCACGCCGCAGCAATGTCGAGGGGTGGGTGCCAGCAGATGAACCGCGGAGTCTAAGGATGACATCAGATGGCCGACAGCCCCCATAGGAGACGGCGGGTGGCATGCCTTCCCATGGAAAATATGATGTTTTGATTTTTTAGAAAGGCCAGGGATTTCCTACACCCTCAACCATGTTTGTTTGGTTTTCCTTTTCTTTTTCTTTCTTTTTTTCCATTCCAGATGAGAACCACGATAGAAATGGCTTTTGTTTTGTTTTTTTTGTTTTTAATGCCACCTCTTCTCCTACCAGCTCTGAAACCTTGGGGCAAGTCACTCCACTCTGAGCCTCTTGGGTGTGTGTGTGTGTGTGTGTGTTATTTTATTTATTTATTTATTTATTTATTTTTTAATCCTCACCCAAGGACATTTTTTTTTTCCTTTTCGTTTTTTGTTCAGATAGAGTGGGAGGGAGAGAGAGGAAGAGAGAGAGAGAAACATCGACGTGAAAGGGACACATCGAGTGGCTGCCACCCGCACAACCCCAACCAGGTTCGGGGACAAACTGCAACCGAGGTACGTGCCCTTAGCGGGAACCGAACTGGGGTCTCTCTGGACCGTGGGCTGACGCTCTACCTGCTGAGCCAAACCGGCCAGGGCTGTGTGTGTGTGTTATTTTAAAAAATATTGCCCTGGCCGGTTTGGCTCAGCGATTGGAGCGTTGTCCTGAGGACCAGAGAGTCCTGAGTTCGGTTCCTGCTAGGGGCACATACCAAAACAAATATCTATCTATATATATATATATATATATATCTATATCTATCTTTTACAGAAAAAATGGGGAGGGGGGAGAGAGAGAGAGAGAGAGAGAGAGAGAGAGATGGACTTGTTGTACCACTCATCTATGAAATCATTGGTTGATTCTTGTATGTGCCCTGACCAGGGATCAAACCTGTAACCCTGAGGAATCTGGACGATGCGCTAACCAACTGAGCTACCGGGCCAGGGCTCCTGTCCTCTCAAACTGAGGCTCTAACTTGTCTCCAGCAAAGTTCTGTGCTCCCTGCAATGAGGTCATGATCAGGGAAAGTCCAGCGCTCGGCCAAGGCTCCTACAGAGGGGCCGTTGTTTGTGACCAACGTGACGCGGACAGAGTGGCAGGGGCCAGGACGGGACACTGGCCGCCTGCCCCCAGCCCTGGGCTGCAGGCCTCCTCCGGCCCGCGCCGCCCCCTCCCTTCCCGCGCGCTGCGCTCCAGCTGCAGAGGCGGGGGACACAGCTGGTTCTCCTCCGTCCCCTCCTGGCCCCAGCTCCGCCAGGACGGAAATAACAACCCGCTCCGGATCCGGCCCGACTGGTTCCCAGCTCCGTGGGAGAGGCGGCGCGGCGCGGCGGGGGCGCCCCGGAGGGGAAGACCCTGGCTCCTCGGGGCTGCGGGGCTCGCTTCCCGAGGCCACGTGGCTGCGGCCCGGACTCCCGCGGCCGCCGTCTCCCGCTTCCCTCCGGGCCTGGCCGGGGCCCCCGGCCCCCTACGGCCCCTCACTCACCTCGGGGTCCTCGATGAGTGGATCGGGCGCGCTCAGGCTCGGCTCAAGCTGGGGCGCCCCGTCCTGGGTTCGGAGCTGGCCTCGGCCTTTGGGTCCCCGGCCCGCGCCTTCTTCCTCCTTCCTCCGGGAGGGATCTCACCTGCCAAGGGAAGCGTCCTGCGGAACCTGGAAGGGGACCCGGACCCAGGCGTCCGGGTCCACGGTGCCACCTCCTCCGGCCCCTTCTCGCTCAGGTCCCCAGAGTCCTGGCTCCCAGCTCTCCCCCCTCAGCCCAGGAGTGAGGAGTCCCAGCGTCTCCCCAACTCAGTCCCAGGAGTCCGGGCCCCGCTCCCGACGTCGGTCCCTTCTTTACCTGCACCCGGGACGAGTGTCAGCCCCTCTCGGGGGCCATGGTCGGAGCCCAAACGGGCGCAGAGTGGCCGCCCAGTCCAGCTCAGTCCGTCTGGGGCAGACAGGGTTAAGGCGCAGGCCCCGCCCAGCCTTCCTTATCCCCCGAAAGTTTGCCTCTAGGATTTAAAGGACTAGAAAGCAGCCGTGGAAAAGCGGAGGCCCCTCCGGGCGGAGTGTGGGGGCGGGAGGAGGCCGGGCCTGGGTGTGCGCGGAGGACACGCGGAGGGGGTGGGGATGCACTGGGCGCACCCCAGCCCGGCCCCTCCCCCTGCCCAGCTTGGAATTTCCTGGAACTGGGGAAGTTTGGCTGTTTGGGAGAGTAATTTCTTCCAGACTTGCGGCTGCTGGGGGAGCGTGTGTGGGGACTGAGAGAGGGAGAGAAGAGAGAGACAGAGGAACAGACCAGGTCGGGCAGCGAGACCCCGGGACGCGGGAGGTGGCCTTCCAGGGTCAGCTCCGACCCCGCTGCACAGACTTCCCTGGCCCAATGTGCGTGCCCGAAGCTGCTGGTCTCTAGACGGGTCACTGTATCCCCCTGAGCGCCCGTGCCCAGAGGTGACGAGGAGAAGGTCAGATCTGGGCGTTGGGAAGATTCCTCAGGAGCCAGGGCGAGGGCGGGCCTGATTTGGAGGATGGATGGCAGAGTCCCCCGGGAGGAGGCTGGCTGGAGGGCATAGAGACAGGCCAGGGAGGAGGCTGGCTCCGTGGAGAACCGGGGCTGGGGTTGTGGCGCTTGAGGACAGAGAGTCCGGCGACTCGATAGCAAAGAGGTGTGGCTTGAACAAACTCGGGAAGGAGTGTAGGTTTATAACGGGGAGGAGAGGAGGAAGGACGTTCCCAGAGGGCTGCGAGGCCAGGTGGAGCAGAAGGCACTCTGCCTGGGGGTGGGGTTGCATTGGCCTGGTTGGCCTGGAGGGCTCAGCTCAAAGCCACTGAGGACTGAGACCCCCCCCCCCCCAGGCTGTGGGACCGAACCAGGTGCTGTATGGACCGGGAATAACGCAGTCAGATCCAGGTGTGGAAAGGCCCCTCGTGTCCGTGTGGGGGAGGGGCTGGACAAGGTTGGGAGCTGCATCCAGGGCCAAATGTAAGGTGTGGGTGGGAGTGGTCACCCCACATTCAGTAACTGAGATAAAGAATAAGACCTAAGTAACAGACTTGGGCTAACTATTTTAATTGATGTTAAATTCACACCAAATGCAATTAACCGTTTAAAAGTGGCATTTGGTCCATTCCCAGTGGGGTGCCACCACCATCTCTATCCAGTTTCAAAACAGTTTCTTCACCCCGAAGGAAACTCCATGCCCTTTAGCAGCCCCTCCCCATCCACCCCGGTGACTGTCAACCTGTTTTCTGTCTCCGTGGATTTGTTTGTTTGGGGCATTTCGTGTTCTGGACTCATCTGATACGTGGTCTTTTGTGTCTGGCTTTTCTCATGTCTTCCAGGTTCACCCACATCGTAGCATGGGTCAGTGTGCTTCATTCTCTATCTATTTTGTAACCCTCACCTGAAGACATGCTTATTGATTTTTAGAGAGAGGGGAACAGGGAAAGAGAGAGAGAGAGACAGAGAAAGAGAGAGAGGCAGAGAAAGACACACACACACACACACACACAGATCTTAACTAATAAAATTTTATTGATTTTTTTATCCTCACCGGAGGACATTTTTCCATTTTTTGTTCAGACAGAGCGGGAGGGAGAGAGAGGAAGAGAGAGAGAGAAACATCGACATGAAAGGAACACATCCAGTGGCTGCCACCCGCACGGCCAACCAGGGCCGGGGACAAACTGCAACCGAGTTACGCGCCCTTAGTGGGAACCGAACCCGGGTCTCTCTGGACTGCAGGAAGCCGATGCTCTAACTACTGAGCCAAACCGGCCAGGGCTTAACTAATAAAGTTCTAATGACCTCCTGCAACCCAATCTCCATTTCATGTGGCTATGAAATTAGTTTGGTGTGTACACCTCCCAACCTGGCCAGGTTCTTACAATTCTAAGGTGCTCTCACCATTTGGGGCCAGATGATCTTTGCTGTGGGGGGTCCTGTGTGCACAGCCCATGGCCTCTCCGGGCTCCACCCACTAGATACCAGTAGCATTTGTGACAACTGGAAATATTTCCAAATGTCCCTGTCTGGGGTGTTGCCCCTGGTGCTGAGGGGCTGATCTAGACAGTGCTCCGAGAAACCGAATTGTGAGTGCACAAGGGATCCTCTGCGGGTGGTTTGGGTTACCCCTGTTTTCCCACTTAGCAGTTTCTTCTGGGAATCAATCGTTACTACGTTCCGATTTGAAAAGGAGGTGGGAGCCCATTTCAGTTTTTTAAAAAGATATATGAGAACAGCAACAATACAGCAGCTGTCACTTGGTGGGGGTGGGGTGGGGTGAGAATCTTCTAGGAGCTCTTCTAAGCCCTGCCCACACAGAACCTCATTTAATCCTTGCAAATACGTCTATGGAAAGGGAGTTGATATTATTATCTTCATTTTACAGAGGGGAAAACTGAGGCACCGGTAGTTAAAGACATGTTTTTGGCCTAGCTGGTGTGGCTCAGTTGGTGGAGCATCAGGCCATGCACCGGGAGGTCCCTGGTTCGATTCCCAGGACTGAAGAAACACACACACAAAACCCACGTACGGCACAGGGGGTGGGCAGTAGACAGTGTGGTGTGGAGCTGGGGAGGCACAAAAACACAAACACCCCGAACAGACACTTCTCCAAAGAGGACATTCTGATGGCCAAGAGACGTATGGAAGAATGCTCACCTGTCACTAACCATCAGAGAGATGAAAATTAAAACAACTATGAGGTATCACCTCACACCTGCCAGAATGGCCGCCATCAATAAATCATCAAACAACAAGTGTTGGCGAGGGTGTGGAGAAAAGGGGACTCTAGTGCACTGCTGGTGGGAATGCAGACTGGTGCAGCCATTATGCAAAACAGTATGGAGTTTCCTCAAAAAATTTAAAATGGAACTGTGTTTTGATCCCACCATTCCACTTCCACGAATATATCCTAAGAATCCTGAAACACCAACCAGAAACAATATAGGCGCCTCTATGCTCATAGCAGCACTATTTACAATTGCTAAGATCTGGAGACAGCCCAAGTGCCCATCAGTAGGATAAAAAAGCTGTGGTACGTGTACACAATGGAATACTATGCAGCTGTAATAAAGACCTCTTACCCTTTGCAACAGCATGGATGGACCTGGAGATTAGTATGCTAAGTGAAATAACCCAAAGAACGACAAGTATCATGTGATTTTATTTGTGGAATCTAATGAACAAAATAAACGGATGAACAAAACAGTACCAGAGACATGGATACATGGAACAGACTGACAGAGGTCAGAGGGGAAGGGGATGGGGGGACTAGATAAAAGAAGGTGAAGGGACTAGCCAAAGAACATATATTTGTAGCCCATGGACACAGACAACCATGTGGTGATGGTCAGGGGAGGGGGGTGGGGGCTGTGGGGAGGTGGGCAACGAGGGGGGTGGGGGACATCTGTGATAGTGCCCACAATACAAATAAAGTAAAAAAATATATACAAAAGTAAAACAGAAACACAGAGAACAATGAAAGGTTCCAAGGATATAGACAGCTAGAGACCTGGACCCCTAACAGTGAGAGGGGCAGGAAATCAGAGAGAGAGAGAGAGAGAGAGAGAGAGAGAGAGAGAGAGGAGGGGAAGGGAGGGGAAGGGAGGGGGAGGGAGGGGAGGGGAGAAGAGGGAAAGGAGGGGAAGGGAGGGGAAGGGAAGGGATAAACATACACTCAGAGAGAGGCAGAGGAAAACAGAGGAGAGGAATTAGGAACCATGCCAACAGAGGGAGCCCAAGGAAAACCAGCATGTTAGGGAGTGGCCTGCAGCCAGACTGCCTGCTTCAGGAATAGCCAAGCTCTGTCTCTGGAGCTCCCTGTGATGAGTCTCAGCTCCTTCTTCTTTTTCTTTTTTTTAAAAAAAATATGTTTTTATTGATTTCAAAGAGAGGAAGGGAGAGGGAGAGAGAGAACCATCAATGAGAGAGAAACGTCCGTCAGCTGCCTCCTGCTCAGCCCCTACTGGGGATTGAGCCTGTGACCCTGGGCATGTGTCCTGACCAGGAATTGAACTGGCAACCTCCTGGTGCATGGAGCAATGCGCACCCAACGGAGCCACACCAGCCAGGCTCAGCTCCTTCTTCCTTTCAGCTGGCTCATCTGGGAAGTGACCCCGTCCCCCTGCTGCTCAGACCATCTGCAGTTCCCTCCTCCTCTGCCTCCCATCCCTGCAAGGAAATGTTCCTGGGGGCCGATGGCAGGTTCACTGAAGAAAAAAGATGTCTTAGGAGAATTAGAAAAGCTGAGGAAGTAAGGAGTTCCAAGAGATATTTCCTGCGAATTTATGGCCAAGGTACCAGGAGCCTCAGTCTTCCATCTGGTAGTGGTAAGAGGGATTCCTGAGGTTCTTCCCATCCTGACACCTGAACATGGACAGGTGGGATCATGGTAAGAGCTCAGGCATTGGTGGCAGACAGGTTTGGCTTTTTTTTTTTTAAATCAATTTTTTGATTTTAAAGAAGGAGGAAGAGAGAGAGAGAGAGAGAGAGAGAGAGAGAGAGAGAGAGAGAGAGAGAGAAACATCGGTGTGAAAGAGACACATCAGTTGGTTGCCTCTCGCATAGTGATTGAACCTGCAACCCAGGTACATGCCCTTGACCAGGAACCAAACCCATGACCCTTCAGTGTG